TTCTGCCATGTTCTGCCTCACCACAGCCCCCAAAGCAATGGGGTCAACTGACCTTCATTGGTGCCAATTTTGGAATCCTATGAAACCATGACCCAAAGTAAATCTTTTCTCTTTTGAATTGATGGTCTCAGATATTTTGTCATAGTAACAGAAAACTGACAACACAGGCTCACAATCCAAAGAATCTGACATTTTAAGCCTTTCTTACTATTAGTACCATGCTAAATGTTTTATAGAGACTATCTCATCACATCTTCACAGATGGGGGAAGTGTTATAAACCCATTTTGCAAAAGAGGTAAATAAACCTCAAAACAGCTCAGTGACTTGCCCAAGGTCTACAGTTAGTAAGACACAGTTATTTGAAGCCAGGCCTATATGCCTTCTACACTACACCATACCAAACAGTGTTGAAAAGCAGAGAGGCTCCACAGTTCATTTTTGACCCCATGCACTGAGCACCTATGAAGAACTTGAGGGCCATGTCATAGCTGTCAGTTGTAACAGCAAAAAATGCAGAGGTACCCTTCTCCAACCACCTCTCCCTGAAAGAGGTAGAGACCCAACAGCACAATTCCCCTGCAAAACTTAGCAGATTTGTCAAACTCTGTGACAACATACACTGGGCTCCTTTGTGTTGCTCTGTGCTTAGTCCGGCCATGCCTGGGACTTCCTGCTGTGGTCTCCATTCTCATTCAGTTTATGTGCTATCTTTCCATGATGAGCTCCTCAAAGCAGAGCTACGCATAGGAACTCTTTTTGTATAAGCTCAGAAAACCAGACAAGCATCCCACACAAAAAATAGGAGAAACCTGTATGCTGATTATGTTCCAACTGAATTAAAATGCAATACTTCTATCCATACATTAGTTTGGTAGACCTCTGGGTTTAAAAGTGATTTGCTTATGCCATAAGAAATCAAACAGTGAAAAATTAAGTATCATAAATAAGAAGACACTGTACCTCATCACTATATGTCTAGAGGTGATTCATCACAGCATCCCAAATAAATGAAGTCAGAGTTGGACACACATTATGAGTCACAAGAGTCTGGACTAGTCACCAAAACCCCTAGAATTCCTTCACCACAGGAGATTTCAAGAGACCTGGAACCTTGATGGTGACAGGCCCCACTGCAACTGTGATGAAGAGTATAAGCCTTGGAGTCAAGGTGGACCTATGTTTCAACCCCAGTTCCTCCTGGCAGGATCTGAGGCAATTTTTTAAGTTCTTTAGCCTTAGTTTCTTTATTTAAGGAATGGGAATAATATACATTCTTCATAGGATTGTTGTGAGGATTCACTGAAACAGTGACTAGGAAGTATCTAACAGAGTACCTAGAGCATAGCAAGTGTTCAGTAATGTTCAGTGTGTTTGTTGTTAGAGTCATAAATAAATATCTGAGTGGAGCCTCCCTTAGAGGTTAACCAATATTGCTGGGCATGGTGGTGCATACCTGTAATCCTAGCACTTGGGAGCTGAGGCAGGAGGATCACCTTGAGTTTAAGGCCAGCCTGGGCTACATAGTGAGACCCTGTCCCCCAAAACAAACAAACAAAAAGAAGTTAACCAATCAATACCCATCCGACCAACATAGAAACAAACCTGGTAGTCTCTGCTTAAATGATCAGAGACCCCAATGACTTCTCCAGGTTCACAGCTGAACACACAAAAGAAAAACCAGTTGCTATTCATCTTCTTTCATTTATTCACACTTTGAAATGTTTAACCTATATAAGAGATATCTCTTGTATGTTGTTTCCCTGGCATTGTTTCTTTAAAAAGTTTTTTCAAAGCAATCTAGAAAGCTACATTCTTAGGAAAGAATGATCACAGAAGTCACAAAACCCAATCTTTTTCTAATTTGGGAAATTGTTTTATAAACATCTTTTCAACCCTGTAACTGTTAAATTGTGAACCAGATTCTGCTCAAATAATTCCAGCCAAATAGGCCTCACAATGTTTCCAGATAGCCCTTGTAAGTTACTATGACTCTTTCTTCTTAATGTCATAAACATCTAAAGTATGGACTCAAGGAACAAAATTTTAAGTCCCATGAAAAGTGAGCCCAAATTGCTGATTCATTGCCAGATCCCCAGAGCCTGAGAACCAAGCAGGCAATCAGGCAATCTTATAGCAGGCTATTTGTTCAATGGATGGATGGGTGGGTGGGTGGGTGTGTGGATGAATGGATGGATGGACGGATGGACGGATGGATGGATGGCTGGCTGGATGGATGACATATCTTCTCTGGGTGCTATAGAATAAGTTAAACAAATTTATTGCCCTATCATACTATTACCTTGAGTCCAAGGGATGCAGTAATGAACTTACACTTAAATTTAAGATTTGAGGGTATGTCATGTGTAACAACCTTAACCGTAACTATCTTAAGACCTATAAACTATCCCAGGCTTGGGTGTCAGCAATAGAACTCTGCTTTAATGTGAACTGCTACTGATTATAGGGGCCTGCCTAGTTGTCAGGTAAAAATATAGTTCATCAATTTGCAAGCATTAACATTAATGGGTGCCTAATTAGTAAGAATTGCATTTGTTTCCAAATACCTTCTTCTTTTCTTTAATCTTTAGCACATAAAACCTACCATCTATTTTGAACTTAATGAAATACCTAAGACCTTAATAGAAATGTACATAATTCTAAATTGGTCACAAGGACAAATTTTTGACAAAACCTATTCATACTTTTCAAAACCAGGCATCTACTTATTGACAACAGGGTCTCTCTCTCAAATTGAGTCATTGAACTTATTAACTCTTGTATCTGCAAAAGATGCTTAATGGTGATTATATTACAAATAAGTAGATGAATGAATTCACTTTTATTAATAATAAAAAAGCAAGACACCCTGCTCCAAACTGATTGTACCATGCCTTACATCTTTTGCAGAATTTTATTTGTTATAAGTTTCAGTTCATGCCCAAAGACAGATTTACTGTTTTCTATACAGAAGGAGGGGAGAAGCATTAGGTACCTGGTACCCAGCAAAAGCCCAGACACAGAGTTATCAGTGAAATTCCTCAAAGTTACACTGGGCTAGACAAGGGGCTCCTTGCTGGTACAACCAGGCCACAACCCTAAGAAGACTTGACAGGTGTGGCTGGCTCCATCCCCAGGACCCCACTCTGTTCCCAGTCTGGGCTTTGCTGCCTGGGCTGGGCTGTTTCTCTTGGCTCCCTAGCTCCCAGGACCTCTGAGCTCCAGGAATTTGGACTGAGTGGTAGAGACATCGCCTGCAGAGACAACAATTGCCAGTTTCCTCCCTGTTCTGTCCTGTGATTCAAAGCAGATTCTGCTCCACTTTTTTTTTTAGAGGGAGCACATAGTGCTGGAGATCCACAGAGAGAGAGCTGAGGAATAAAACTGAACATTCTGATTCAAGAGACTGTGAGTAAGCAGCTTATCCAAGGTGGGCCATGGTGGGGCTTGGGTTGTGGGCAGCCTCGGGCATCCAGATCTGATTGCTGAAGGCTGAAAGTTCCTGTGGGAAGTTACAGCAGCTGCAGGACTCTGGAAGTGGGGATTGAGGCTTTCACAAATGATGCTTGCCTGGGGCCTGCTACCTCCAGATGCACATGCGTATGCACATTCCCACTCTAATGGTACCAAGCCCATCTGTGCACTGTACTTGTGCCTCGCTGTAGGAGAAAGAGATGAAAAACAAGAGGATGGCTTTGTATCTTGGGTCTTTGTCTGAAGAAAACCCCGCTGAACCCGGGGCCTTGCTTGAAGACTTCTATAAGAAGTGACTTTCAATGGAGCCTGTGTCGCATCAGTCCTGTATTATTCCAGAGTTAGACCACTTAGTAAAAATTACTAGGTGTCTTTGGCATAGTCATTGAAAACACTTTTTGCTTTGCTTTTCTTTCCTGGAATTAATTTCTAGCTAGTAGATATTCTCTGTTCCTTGGAAGGGTACAGTTCTGTGGTAGGAACTTTCTTTTGCATAATTCTCCTCTCTGTGAAAGTGTTGTTTCTTATGAAATTAATTTACATCACAAGAATTCTGGAATTCTTGGTGATGAATAAGTCATATGTCAATTTTTTTTGGAATAGGGGAGGGTTTAGGGGTGAAGGGCACACAGCTAATGGGGAAAAATTAAGAACCGAGATACATCATGTACAGGTACAAGCACCCAAAGATAAATGTAAATGTATTGTATACCTAACATGTACCAATAAAAGAATTTAAGAAAAAAAATGTTTTTTTGGTTTGTTGAGACAGGATCTCTATGCAGTTCAGGATGGCCTTGAACTCACTATGTAGCCCAAGCTGGCCTGGAACTTGAAGCAATCTTCTTGCCTCAGCCTCCCAAGTGCTGGGATTACAGCTGTGCACAACCACACCTGGCTCATATATCAATATTTTAACGTACATATATATTCTTGATATTTTATAGACCATGCAGAAGAGCAGAATTGGAGTCACGGCCCTGTTGGTTTCTGATGTAAATGGGCCACTGAGCTCTCTAAACCTCACTCATCTTCTCTATTGTTGAAATATAATAACAGCCACCTAGTAAGATTGTTGGAAGGCTGAGAATGAGAACATATAAAGTCCTTTATAGCATGGTATAAAACTATCAGTTATTATTAATATTATTATTTGTAATAAGCATGGCACAGCTATAAGCTGGCTGAATATAAAACAAACGAGTAGGATGTACTTCTTTTCCTGTTGGTTTGGTTCAGATCTGAGTGGAGCCTTGCCAAGACCACACATCCATATGGGACATAAGCAGGACGTTCAACTCCCAGTTTGCCTTTTGAGAGGATCCCAGTGTAGTAAAGCAGTCTGGGTGGGTGGTACTGTAGGTGGGTGACCAGGACAGCTCAGGGAACCTCTCCTGCAGCCATTCCCAACTCCACACTCAGAAAGACACTCACGCACATGAGCTGGGTGCCCTGCTTCTCTGTGGGATAGCCCCACTCTCATCCCCTGCCGCTTCCCTTTGAACTGCAGGAGACCTCCCAGCTGCCATGTTGCCTCTTCTGCCAATCACCCTCTTCCTCCTTCACTCCTGCTTCCCAAGAAGAGGAAGCAATCCCCTCCTCTGGGAAAGCCTGCCTTGGCTAAAGACTGAATTTGCACTCCGCCTCTACCACAGCATGGCAGCAGGGAAAAATGGGACAAATTTTGTCATCTAACCTGCTGGTGTGTCTCTCCCACTGGAAATCCTGCAATTTGGAGCCCCGGGGAACACTGGCCGGCAGCTGGTAGATGCCTTGGGATACACTGTATATGGTAAGGCCCGTCGTGCACACACTTCCTCTCCTGCTCATTTTCATACCCACCCTTGCTCACATTCTCACTCCTGCTCAATTCCCTGCTCAGGGCATCTCAGGTAAGGGTTGCCCAGCTGGTGTGCACATGCACAGAGGGGTGACCACTAGGCAAGAATACACCAGAAGGTATCCACACTTTGGAATAGTGGTTACCCATGACTTTTAAGGTTCAGGTTCCATGGCAATATTTCACTTTCACTCCATACATTCTTTCACAGTGCTCACTAGGTGCCAAGCAGTGTGGAAAGCACCTTACAAACATTAATTAAATGAATTGCTATTATTGGGATTGGAATGAGAAAATCAGCACAGAAAGTGGAAGCAATTTGCTGGAGGTCACACAGCCAAGGGGAGCAGAGCTAAACTTCAGCCCAGGCTATTTGGCTCCAGAGCCCATGCTTTTGATCAGCCTCTTTTTATGGCTCTGTGACTTCTGGCTCATGCCTTATCTTCCAGCTTATTTTTATGGATTCTGTATTTTAGAAGAGCTCTGTGACAGCAGTCAGAGTCTCTTGAATGTAGCTCAGCCTCAGTGCCTGCCAACCAGCTCCATGCTAAGGCAGCACCTACATGCATGATTTTTTCTTCTCCATCTCAGGATAAGATGTCAACAAAACAGATGAGAGTGACTTTTGTGTAAATTAATATTTATCAGAAAGCACAAGAATTAATACCAACACAACCTGGCAAGAGCAGGCTTTGCAATGGAATCGAGTTGGGGAGTAAAGGTTAGTATTCAGCATGCTGGTACACAGGGCACCAGCTGAGCTCCCCATCCACACCCTGTCCCCTGGCAAATCAGTTCCAGATCCTGCTAGCCTACTAACATGTCTGTGATCCATCTGAGATTGAAGACAGTTTTTTGAACTTAATTGCTCTTGGTGAGTATATCACAGCAGTGCACACAGCCACCAAGTTATTCTTCACCCACAATAGACTCAGCACAATAAAATCTGCCAGGGTCTTGGGAACTGGTGCTCTGAGGGCCAGTGCTGTGCCGGAAACACATAGGAGAAACCTGAGCACAGGCAGTTCACTCTCAGATGAGCAATATACATAGAAATTTCCTCTATTTCGGTGCCATAAGTGTATTTAGGCAAATTAGGTTAGTACGTGGAGGGATTGCCTGATTCTGCTGGCAGATCAGAAGGTTCCCCCAGAGACATGACATCTGAGCTAGGTTATGAGGAATCCACCTTAAAATAAAGCCTCACAAAAGTCAGGATTGGAGAAAGTGAGAAGTGCAAGTGCCACTGAGAAATAGTATGCTCAATTCTCAGTTGTCAGGTACGGTCATGGTGCCTGGTTAAGCAAATGTGATGATGATCAGAGTTTTCATAAAGCCCATTAGAGAATCAGCAAATGTCAAGAATGCTCAATAGTCAAACTCTGGAACAATAATTCCACTTAATTTTCTTCATCATAAACTGGCTTATTATCTTATGGAACAATAGTTAATTGTCAAGAAAAAGAATGTACCACTTCCAGAATTCTGATTAATAGAGTTCTGTGCTCTGGTTTGCACTAGGACAGCTCAGAGAAGCCTGTGTGCCCATCACTTGTCGTGACCCAGTCTTATAAAAATTGATGCCTACCAATGACGTAGCTGTAAAACAGGGAGCTAAGCACATGCCAAGAAACTGGGAGCACTATGCCTGTTTAATCAACAGAAAGATCTGCCCAAGTTTTCAGTGCAGTACATCAGCTTGTCTTCTCACTGTGTATCCCGACACTATGCGACAACCAGGGGTTTTGCTGCTGGTCCTGTAGCACAAGATGAGTTTAGAACAGAAACCAGAGATATCCCCCAAAGCACCTCGTTTTCACTATATTAAACACAATTTCCCAATGTCCTAGTGTCTAGAAATTTTCATTGTCCTTTCAGGTAAATTAATAAAGGGCAATTTAGTACTTCCTATTAAGCACAAGAAGACTAGGAGCAAAAGCCTCAGAGATGAAGATGGTTTGGTCCCTGGCATTGTGTTTCACGGTGTCTGTGGAATTTATTTTAAAAATCATTATGCCCTTTGATCCCCCACAGAACCCTTATGCAATCTCTAGGCCTCTGTTAGCATGCCCATTTTACAATAAAGTGGATAAATGACTTGGAAAAACTCAGCTCATCCAACAGGCAAGCAGCAAGCTAGGATTCAAAATCCATATTTTTGGCTTCTAAGTCCTCTGTGCTTTCCACAATTCCTCAGCACCTCTTAAGCTGTGGAGCAGCTGCATAAATGTGTATATAACTTGCCTTTTCTATTTCTCACCAGAGGTAGCCTCATTACACTCACAGCCCACCAAACCCATTGGAGAGCATCATAAACTTAACCCTCTTTTAGCTCTCAGACAACTAAAATATCAGCTTCAAAAACATGGTTCTCGTAGTTTGAGAATTTTATATCCATTAACCTTACACATTTAAGATCTACAGCATTCAGTGTCATATTCAAGAAGTTTTGTTTAATTTATTAAAAAGGAAGATTTTCTCCATGCCAGTTTCTCAAATGAACCAAAAGGCTGGTTGCAGCAGGATTCATGGAATGCCTCCAGTACTTTCCTCCTACTCTGCACCTGTCCCAGGGACCCTCTTCCACATCTCCCTCACTATATTCCTGGTCTATACAGCTCTGTGGCTTTCTTCTTCCTCCTTCCCTCACTCAGTGTCTTGTTAGAACTACCTCCTCAGTCCACAAGTTCCCCACCCCATGGGTAGACAGCACAGTAAGGCTCTGCCACCTACAACTTAGTGAGATCACTGAGCAAAAAACCATGAATTTATCTGAGCCTCTGATCTCTCATCTATAAAATGGGGATAATAATAGCTTCCCAATCACAATGTTCTTGGAAAAATTTAATGTGACCTAGCATGCAGAGCAGCCCACACAATGTCCATCAGCATTGTCACCCTTAATAGTTTTTATCTGACAGAGCATATTCTGGCACATATAGAAAAGCTCTTTCTTATGTGCAATAGGCAGGGACTAATCAGTGCAGGTGGAGACAAGATTCACACTAAAATCTACTTCAAGCCAATTGACTGCTATGTTAATGTTCCTGACTATAAGAATGCTGGCCCCTCGCCCAGTGAGGAAATCTCTCGACCATTCCTAAAGTCATTTTGCACTACAGACCATGAAATATCTCAAGGCTTCTACGTAAACAGATAGCATTCTGCAGGGATGTGATCCCAGAAATACAGATGACCTTCTTCACTAAGGTAAAATTTATCTATAAGAGCACATTTTTTCTATTCATTTATTTTCTCCCAATAAATACAAGCACTCAAATTAAGCTGTAATTTATGGGACCTGGGGGGTTTTTTTTGCAGTTATAGATTCTAAGAAGCAGTCTGGGTAGTGAATGGTGTGGTGTGGGGATGAATGACATTTGCCTCCTACTGTGATATGCAGCCTAGGGCTGGCAGCCATGGCTAGGGTTAATTCTGGGTGCCATGTCCCCCAAGAGAATGTGAGCCAGTTACTTGGAGTCTGCTGCTGACTCTTGAGTTGGCCTCTGCAGCCTAGAAGGTGCTAGAGGGGACAGATCCTAGGCTGAGTGAGAGGTTCATCACAGTGGGTGGCCCGGCAGAGCCAGCTAGAGCAGGTGGTGTAGGAAGAGGGACTCAGCATTGTGACTTGCAGCTTGCAGACAAACAAGGTGTTTGTGGACAGCTACTGGGTTTTGCCAGAGAGAGGAGAGGTGTGGAGAAAAAGGCAAGGGAGTGCCCTACAGGCAGCCTGTGCAGCAAGGAGGCTTCACTCTGGCAAGCACCCCTAAGACTTCTCTGCAGACAGTCAACATTCTGCAGGGATATGATCCCAGAAATACAGATGGCCTTCCTCAGTAGAGTAAAATCTAACTTGCATGGGTCAAGAGTGGAAAGCTTGGAGAACTCAATTGTGTCTGGACTCATCAGTGGGTGGGAGGCCTCATTTCAGCTACAGGATGCCTGGGGAAACTAAAAGCTGCAGCTTGCAAATAATAGCATGAAAATGAAATCTGCTATGGATTATGGAGAGAAGGAATCAATCTCCTGTGCAAATAGTAAATAAATAGTAGTCTAGCTGCCATCCAAGAAGTGGAAGTTAGCCACTCTCTCAAATGCTTATTTCCTCAACATCCTTGCAGCAGCTTACTGACATTAATAACATTAATGTCTGCTGGGTCTCAGGAAGATGGAGGATGGGAGGAGTGCTCACTTTTCCTCTAAATTTCTCAAATTGAAAGCATAGTTGTAAAAGAGGCTGAATTTAAATGTCACTCAGGCTTGTACTATGTAGTCATGGAGATGGATATGAGGCCCTGGCAAGATATATCAACAATGGAACATCCTAGCCACCATCCTAGCCAGCATCATTGTTAGTTGTGACACTGCACATAAATCTCTCAACTTTGTGTCTGAAAGTCCATTGTCCTGTGATTTTCCCAGCTCTAGAATCTCCCCTCCCTAACTTGCCAAAATTCCTCAAACAGGAAGTTAGGAAAAAACAGCCTTTATCATCTATAGGATGTGGTAGACTTCATTGGAGCCACATTTCTTTCAAACCTGGCATGGTTTCTTCTCAACTTTTATTCTGAGGGACAAGGCTGATTCCTGAGCAAGTTATCTATGACTTATCCAATTGACTACATATAGGGAATGCACCTTATGAAAATAAGAGTGGCATTGCTCGGGTCCTACTTAAATACAATGTGCAGACAAGAGTTATGCCAGCTCCTTACTCATATGTGCTGTTGTTGGCTTATGCCAACTCCTTTTTCACAGACCCAAGAGTGAGGAATTTCTTGCATGCTGTTTACACCACACTAAGCAACTCCACCCAAGGCACCAAGACGGAGCTGGCATGCACCCTTTTTGTACAAGTGGGAACACCGTTGTCTCCATGCTTTCTGGAGCAGGTCTCCTGGTGGGGTAACAGCAGCACAGAGCCAACTGACTTCAGTAAACCTAACAGCACCACCATTCAGACCAACAAAGAGGAACCTGGACAACCCACAGGTAAAAGAAACTCATTCTCCTCCTAAGGTTAGAGGAATGCAAAGACAATATCACCTATTGCTTGTCAGAGCCATGGTGCTCAGGCCACCCTCAACTGCAGCAAAAGTTTGTCCTCTTGGGAAAGTTTGTCCTTACATTTCGGTCACAGTTCTGTGAAGCAACTAAAGCTGACTCTTGTCCCCTCTGCCTCTCTCCCCATCTCCCCCCACCCCCACATAGCAGCATCCTTGGAAATTACAACATTACCCAAAAATATGGAGATCTCTTGTTTAGAAAGCGAAGTAGGAAGCAATAGGATATGCATTGTAATTGAATGGGCTTGCAATACTCTCAATTTTCTGGAATGTTTAACATCTTGTCAATTTATTTAAAAAGTGTGAAGTCCATGTGTCAGCTCCTTGTCTCAGCCTCCACCCTCACACTCACACTAATGTCACACTTGCTGTTCTCAACTTCCAGACTGGTTTACCCACTATAGTCATCCAGAGTCTTCGGCCAGGCTGCTCTGATTCATATCCAAGGTTTCTGTCTTGGTAACTGGCTGAATGTTGACTCTGCTCCTCACAAATACATGACCAACTTTCCTGAGCCTAGGTTCCCTCACCTGTAAAATGAGGAATAACAGGTAAGAGTCAGTGAGAATTTGCTCAAGAATTTAGAACAGAGCCTAGCGCGGAGTATGTGTTTATTAAATCAATAAAGGCCTGACCCTGTAGACGTGGTCTGCCTGCTCCTCTTTCTGGTAATGCATAAATTTTAACCACAGCCCTCCAAAGACCATGCTATGGGTGTCACTTTCTCAGCAAAAGTTCAGCAAAGGACATGGCTTGGCATGGGCAGTGGAGTCTAGAGGATGACATGATGTGTTGCCTTCCCATCACAGCACCTAGCCCCTCCAGGGCGCTGCTGGGGGAGGAATGCCTAATGGTTCCTGGAAAATGGCCCAGACAGAAGCAGGGGAAGCATCCTTGTTCAAGAAAGAAGAGTATGATCTTCAGCAACAGGTAGTTATAAACACGTAAGTGTGCTGCAATAAATAGATATTATCAAGTAAGCAACAGCCTATCTGCAGGTCAAGACCCAGTGTGATTTCTGAGTTCTCACCTTCCGTTTCCATGTCCCAAGCCCAGAGCAGCAAGTTGAGAGTGGCTAGTGAGGCCTTGGGTCTCCAGCAGCACAAGGAACTTAAGGAACTAAACAGTTTTGAGTAAATTGAAAAGAGATTGTGAAACATGAGACAGCGCCAAAGCGGGCAGGGTGGGGGGGGACAGAAAATTACCACAGTATCAAAACATATCCTGTGTTTTGCACATTAGCTCTGCACTCCTCATCCACATACATACTGTGTTCAGTGTGATCATGGTGTATATTTACCCTCCTGCTTGCTCCCACAATTTCAGGCAGGGGTCCAGGCAGACTACCATGGGAGCAGGTTAGTGCTGTGTCTATCCAGCTCGCCCTTGTGAGCACCATGACCTTCCAAAGCACTTGACAGAGGACTTCTCCTCCATGGACTCACAACCCCTGCCTTTCACCTGTGCCCATGGCCTCATCCTCCAGGTCCCCATGATGCACCAGATGGCTGAGGTCAACTATGGTAAGTCCCTCCCCCTGGGTGGGAAGAAGCATGGGCCATGTGGGTGGCAGAGGGAAATCCAGGCCTGTGCTCCTCGAGGGTTGGATGAGATGTGCTTCTATGTGATTTTATCCTCTGGGCTGTCATTTGGCCAAAAGACAACCCGGGGAGGCAGGAAATTCAGAGAGGGGCCATTGGACAGTGTGTGCCAAAAGGACAGTGAGGATGCAGATGAGGATAAGAACCCAATTTCGGGCCGGGGATTTAGCTCAGTGGTTCTGGCGCCTGCCTCGCAAGTGCAAGGTCCCGAGTTCAATCCCTGGTACCAAAAAAAAAAGAACTCAATTTCATGCTCAATATTCTGCTCTACATTTAGAAAGAAAGGAGTTAATGGAAAACCACATTTCTGGACCAACCCACACCCAGGTAGGCACTTTCAAATAATAGGTGCTGAGCTAGCATGAAGATTGAATCTAAAAGGATCTCCAATGACCAGTAGACTGAATGTCCCATTACTCCTGAAATACCATAATTCTGTGTGCCCACCTGCCTGACAGTCACTCATTCTGGTGTGGGGGTGGTGCTCAATGTCAATGCATGCCTGGAAGAAGCCCCCTCCTAGCTGACTGCTGTGTGCAGTGAACTCCAAGGGTCGCTGTGATGCAAAGAATGGCAGGCCACCTCCTGCTCCATGTCCTTCTTCCCCCAGTGGTATCCCTCACCCTCCTGCAGGTTATGGGGCTCATTCTGTGCTCCTTCAGGGAAAAGCCATTGGGGCTTCAATCACTGTCTTCAGAACCTTGCCTTTTAGCAACCTAGCTAGTAGTTCTGTTTTGATCCCATGCAGGCACATAGTAAGTGCTCAGGAAATGTATTTGTGTGTTTGTGAGATGAGAACTAAAGAACATCTATTGGTTGAATAAATATACATATACAATCAATTATAGTTCTTGTTCTTGTCTTATTATTGCTGTTCTGACCTCACAGGTTAGTTTCAATGTCAGCATGGCAGCAGGCGGGCTCCATGTGACTCTTGTTCTTCCCAGGACACAAGTGTGCATAGTGGCTGGCACATAGTGGACGCTGAATAAGGATCTATAGACAAAGTGAACTATGTAGTGGGAACTGTGCTCCCATCTTTTCCTACTGAACCTAAGGTTCTGCCTTAGTGGCCTGGCAGCTTTGTTCCAAACCCATACCAGGCCCTTGGTCTCACCATCCTCCTAGGGACAGGATCTAAACTAAAGTCTATCATGAGACTCCCCTGCCCACCTGGATTGTTTACATTACTCACTGTCCATTCCTTGTTACCTGGCCCAGCCACTGGGTCTCCCTGTAACTGGCTACCTCTGTCTGCTGCCACCTGCCATCTGTCCCATCACACCCTTCTGAAATTATGCTTTGCCAGCCATTTTTACTTCCCATGAGCTCCCAGCTGCCCATCCTGAAATCTATTGGTTTAGATCTCAGGTTATAAATTATCAATTACCAGGTCAAATCCAGCCTGAACTCATGATACATGGAGTCTGTGTAGTCTTTTAAAAGTTAAGAAATCTCATATGACATATGGATGTAGAGCTTTTATTGAGAGATAGAGAAATCCAGCACAAAAGCCCTGGGTCCCCATGGGCCAGGGTTGGATAGGCTGCCCCTTTAAAACAGTATATATATTTCTTCCTTGTGTCATTGTCTCCACTGTACATAGCTACTGCAGGTCCTTTGACTTGGGCCTTATGAGGGTATCTAAGAGATTCTAGGCCTTAGGATCAGTAAAGGATCACCCAACAGTCTTCAGCCTCAAACTGCTCCACAGGGGTGAGGTAAAATGCCTGTTTTACTGTTTCCCAAACTATAAACCACCTCCTCCAAGGGTCTGTCACTGTTGAGTCTCCCTGGCTCCTGGGACAGAGCTAATTCCTGACCCACTGAACCCCCAGGCCAGTTCCAGGGTGCTGTAGGTCATCAGGTGTCACTGTTGGAATTCCCATACCTGAGAAGAGCAGCAAGTCTCTTCCTGGTACTGCCCCATGACAGAGATACACCCCTGGGCCACATTGATACACAATTTACAGCCAGAGTCCTTCACCTCTGGACCAGCAGGCTGAGGAGAACCAGGACGGATGTGTTCCTCCCCAGGTGAGCAGCTACACTCCCCTTACAAAGTGCTCTGCAACCAGCAGTCCACATGGCCTTTATGTTGAGCCAGGTGTCTGACTCTAGGGTCTATCTTAACTTACTGGGCTGTACCTAATGCACCCTAACAACTTAGGGAAAGCTACCCTACAGTCTGCGTCCACTCCAGAATCATTGCTTACTAGTTCGTGGCACAGAGTGAAATGAACTAACTTCCTGGAGCCCTCCCAAGATGAGGTACTCTGTCTTCACTAGGCAGATTGGAGACCCTAGGCCTCTTCCTCCAGCATCATGCTACAACCAGCTGTCGAGGAGAGGAGGAAGCACACCACAGTTCCCTTGAAGAAATGTGCACCAAATGTCATCACATCCTAAGATAACTATCATTTTTCATATCGTATCTATCATTTTTTCAAAACTCAAGAAGCAAGGTTGTTTATGTAACTGACCAAATATAATTCCATTCAGAAACCATATTAAGGCATAACAGTTCAAGACTTACAGTTTCTCTGCTGAAGGTTTTCATTTGTTCTGAATAGGAAGGAACCCCTCTTTCATATAAACCTAGTAGGCACAGATACAAATTTCCAAAAATTTAAATGATGGCAATAGATTTTACTTTTCCAAAGCACATTAGCAAAATACATTATTTTTACAAAGGGATTCTGGCTAGGACTTCTTCAGATGATGAGCTTTTCTGGTGCATTTGAAATCAGAGTAAAAATACAACAAATTTATAGACCAGTTCCAAGGGAGGAATGATATGCAGGGGCTCATTGTCAATCAATGACTTCTTCGTGGGCCTGTTCACTCATGGCCTTGGTCTCACCCCAGGGCCAGGGCTGTGAGCCCTGGTGAAGGCAAAGACCTCGGCTGTTCTCCATCAAGCAGTTAAAATAAGTCCATCTACTAGGACGACGACAACAACAACAACAAATACAAAGAGAGGCTCAGCAGTTAGGCCAAGATCTAAAGTGGGATCAGATATAACCAGAACAGAAGATGAACTTGACTCATCAGTCTATCTCTCCAAGACACATATTCAGACTCCAAAGCAAAACCCATGACTGCATATTTCAATGGATCTCTGTGGCAGGAGTAGGTCAACCTATTTCTTCTTGTTATATTTGAGAGAAGCTCAGTGAAGGATGGAAAAGGAGCTTACTGTCACACATAGAGAGAGAACACAATCCACTGTAGGAATCTGCGCACTTATTTAGATTTAGGTGACAGATATCTGGCTTGGCCTAGAACAGCTGGTGTATGGAAGAGGCCCCAGGGCAATGGCTGGCTCCATTATGAACCCTCCACTGTCTCCTAATTCTGCTTTTAGAAATCCCAAAGTCTTAAGCAATGATTCTGAAAAACACCAGAGGACAAGGAGAAAGGGAAGAAAGGAAGGGATCTTAGTGACCCAACTACTAGTTAACGGTTGACCTTATTGTGATAATTTTTCAAAATCTCCCTAAGGGGAAAAAAAAAAATCTCCCTAAGACTATCCAGACTCTTGTCTAAACAGGATAAAAGGTTTTAGAAAAATGAGACCATTTCACAAGCAAAACTAACCTATTTTTTAAAAGCTACCTTGTTGGGTGCAGTGCCATACACCTGTTATCCCAGCTATTTGGGAGGCTGAGGCAGGAGGATCAAAAGTGTGAGCCCAGCCTGGATAACTTGGTAAGACCATCTCAAAATAAAAAATATAAGGGACTGGGGACATAGTTTAGTGGTAGAAGACCTGGCTTCCACTTCCAGCACTGAAAACAAAAAAAAGCTAGCTTCAGGGATAAGGATGTAGCTCAGTAGCAGAGCACTTGACTAGCATGTGCATAGTCCTAGGTTCAATCTGTGAGAAGAACTAGCTTTAAACTCCTTAAGGAATAAATGTAACAGAACTAAAAACCTGTTTTAGGTCTAGATTTAAGTATAAAATTTGGACCATGGTAGACACAAAGTCAATTTCGGCAAGAATTTGCCTCTAGTTCCTTTAAATAATTCATTTGTCATTTACTATAACCTCCTCTGTTATCTAAACACATGTTCTTTTCATTAAGAAGGAGCAAAAATTTTACACACTGTGGACAGCAATGCATTGTGTAACAGTGAAGTGTGCTTTTGAATTAAACATCACCAAGCTGTTCATTAGTAGCTTCTTGGTGAATTATGTTATCTAGCTTCCAAAGTAACACTTTATTTGGAGAAATAAAAATTAAATTCATAGGGACCATTAGTCTTCAATAGGTGCATTTAATATATTAAAGAAATAATCAAGAAAACCAAGAATGAGTATTTAAGGATCATTTATATACACAATCATGTAATGCCCCACAAAAAAAGACTAATAATATCAAATATGCATTTAATGAGTAAACACTTGGTCAGCATATTAAGATACTAATCCTGATCATTTTTCTGATATTAGATATGATATTGCATTAGCCTGTTTTACATTGGTTTAATAAAGTAACTGGAGCTGGGTGTTTTATTTTTAAAAATTGGGGGAGCATTTAGCACACAATTCTGGATATCCAAGAGCATGATGCTTGCATCTTCTCTGCTCTGGTGAGGGCTCTCTGGCTGCATCACAACATGGTGATGGTGTCATGGAAGAGGTGCATGCAAGACAGGAAGAGACCACATGGTGAGACAGAAAGCCAGAGAGATTTAAGGCCCAGGCTTTTTCTGTTTGTAACAATCCATTCTCATGGTTCTACCTGCAAGAACTACATTAATTTCTTCTGAAGGTGTGCCCCCAGTGACTTAATCATCCTCTGCTAGGTCTCACCTCTTAAAATTTCCTCAACACCATCATGCAGGGACCAAGCTTCTAGCACACTAACCTTTGAGGAACATATTCGAACCATATCTAAACCACAACAGATATGTGTTGTGGGGTTTTTTTTTTTTTGGTACCAGGGATCGAACTCAGGACCTTACACTTGGGAGGCAGGCATAGTGCCACTGAGATAAATCCCTGGCTCAGATATGTGTCTTTTTAAAATCAACCAAGTCTCATGTATACAAAATGAGTTTTACTCTTCCTTCAAGGAGCTGCTGATCATCACCATATATGGTCTATGCTTTTCTAAGGATGTCTTCTACTTTAAATTGAGGAATAATTCACATAAAATAACACCCATTCTTGGGCTGGGGATTTAGCTCAGTGGTTCCAGTGCCTGCCTTGCAAGCACAAGGTCTCAAGTTCGATCCCCAGTACCAAAAAACAAACAAACAAATAACATCCATTCTTTAGGTTTTAGTATGTTCACAAAACTGCAACAAGGGTTGGGGATTTAGCTCAGTGCCACAGCGCCTTCCTTGCAAGCGCAAGGTCCAGAGTTCAATCCCTGGTACCAAAAAACAAACAAACAAACAAAAAAAACTGTACAACCATCACTACTAATTATTCCAGAACATTTTCATCACCTCAAAAAGAAACCCCATTCTTATTAGTAGTCATTTCTCACCCCCACCACAGCCCTAGGCAACCACTAATCTACTCTGTTTCTTTGTCTCTTCGGGACATTTCAGATAAATTAAATTATACATTATGTGACCTTTTGTGTCTGGGTTCTTTCACTTACCATAAAGTTTTTAAGGTTCATTTTTATTATACCATAATCACTACTTCATTCCTTTTTATGATTGAATAATATTTATTGCAGGGATATATTACATTTTCTTTATCCATTCATTAACACAACTATTTGAGTGCCAACAGTTTTTGTCTTGTTTCTACTTTTTGACTACCACAATCATTCAAATGCATGTGGGTTTTGGGGGTCTGTATTTTTAATTATCTTGAATATGCACATACAAATAGGGTTATTAGGTCATCACTGAGAAACTGTCAGAATTTTTTCCAAGTGGCTACACCATCTTATATTTCCATGAGGTGTATGTGTGGGTTTCAATATTTCTGCATCCTTGACAACACTTGTAGCCATCCTAGTTGGTGTAAAGTGATATCTCATGTTAGTTTTCATTTGCATTGTTTCTAAGCATCTTTCTATATGCTTGTCGGTCATTTACATATCTTTTTAAGAGAAATATCTATTCAGATCCTTCGCCCATTTTAAATTTGGTTGTCTTTTTATTTTTGAGTTGTAATTTTAAAAAATATTTATTCTGGGCCTGGGGATTTAGCTCAGTGGTTCCACCGCCTGCCCGGAAAGCACAAGGACCTGGGTTTTACCCCTAGTACCAAAAAAAAAAATTTATTCTGGATACTAGCTCTTTAGCAGATATATGATTTGTAAATGTTTTCTCCCATTCTGTGTGTTATCATTCCACTTTCTTGATAGTGTCATTTGAAGCACAAAAGTTGTTGATTTTGATGAAGTTCAATTAATCTATTTTTTCTTTGGTTTCTTGCATTCTTGATGTCATATCTAGAAAACCATGGCCTAACCAAGATCAGAAAGATGTATGTCTGGTTTTTTTCTAAGGATAGACTTAGCTGTAACATGTAGGTCTTTGATCTGTTTTGAATTAATTGTTTTACAATTGACTCTTGAACAATTTGGGTGTTAGGAACCTAAACTGCCTCACAGTAGAAAACTCCATGCATAAGATTTGACTCCCCTAAAACTTAACTATGAATAACCTGCTCTTTGACCAGAATCCTTACCCTCAATAACATAAATTGTCAATCAATACATATTCTGTGTTGTATGTATCACATATTGTGGAAAAATGCAGGAGCACTTTGAGAGATCACTTTTTGCTGCAATAAGCAGTGTCTTAGAGAGATGAACTGATCCCTCAGAGATGATCAGTGTCTCAGAGTTAATTTCTTTGTTTTCTTGTTTTTGTTTATTTGTTTGTTTTGCAATACTGGGGATTGAACCCAGGGCCTTTGTACTGAGACACATCCTCAGCCGTTTTTGATTTTGAGCTAGGGTCTTGCTAAGATACCAAATTGCCCAGGCTGGGCTCAAACTTGCCATCTTCCTGCCTCACCTTTCATTACAGGCATGCACCACAAAGCTGGGCACCCTATA